TGTTTGTTTAACTAATGAATGTAAGAGGAGTTTAAATGAGCATGCAGAGCTGTGTGCTGATGTGATTTTTGGTGAAGGGGTAAAAGTCAATTTTGAGAGGACGGTTTTGTTTTTTTTTTAAACTGGACTTTAGAAAAATGCACCAGAACATTTGACCCCAGTATAGGACTTTCTGAACTAGAACTGTAATGTACTCACCATCGGTCTAATAAATCTTTCATATTTAGGTGGTTTTCGGGTGAACCCATCTCCAACAAAGCAGACTTTGGTGACCATTCTCTTCCAGGCCTTCTTCTTCCTCTTTCCTGTGCGGAGAACTCTAAGCACTTCGGTTTCTCCCTGAGCACGGACTTTGGGCAATGGAACTTCCCACTTGCCCTAAGAACAACAGATGGTTAAATCACACACTGGACTGAACATTTCAATGCGAGTGTCATCCCAACAGCAAATGTTTACTTACTGCTTTTTCTTTTCGCTTTTGCTTGATCATATTGGAGAGAACTTTGGCTCGGCTTTGTCCCTCTCTGTCCAGTAGATAAGCTGGAACAGCTCCTTCTGGGGTCTTCTCGTCATTCTTCTGTTTGGTGTTCCTCTTCTCATGCATCTTAATACTGAACACAGAAGAAAAATAAATGTTACATTCATATCTAGAGGAACTTATAGGGATAACAAAGCAGCTTGCGTACCAGTTGTTTACAAACCTGTACTGATCTGTCTATGTCTTTTGTTTTGGGTCATAAGCCAAACAGTATTTGCACATTAGTGAAAAATAAAATGAATCTCCAGGCAGATATAAAAAACACACAAATTAAATCACTGCATCAATTAATATGTTCCTAAATGTATATTTTTTAAACAAATGAAGTTTAAGTACTGAATATGATTTTGTTATCAACCTCTTGCAGTCCACTGTGCAGCTGCACTCTGGCTGGAAGAGGGAGAAAACACAAGGAGCCAATAAGTTGTACTGCAATCAGTATTCATGGGCTAACAAGGAACATGCTAACAGGAGAGAGAGCGCAGAGTGACAAAGGGATGAACTTATCCACGGGCTGAAAACATAACTACTTCCTCATCTACACTTATTAATATTGATGGACGAACCCCCTGCTGTTTGCATTGTATTTGGACATCAGCCTCTGTCAGAATATTCGAACGGAGCTAACAGCTGATACCTCTGTTTGGCCGAGGATTTTCCAAACGGCTTCCTTGATCAGCTGATCGAGGGATGCCAAGCGGGAGAGTGCTGACAGCGACACTCACTTTGCGAAATTTAGGCTGGTTCATCAGGAACTGGACAAAATCCGTCCCGTGTACTCTACTTATAAATGGACTTCCTGGAGTTGCGCTTTAAACAAACCCAGCCACTTACGTTTTCTTCATCTGTATTTTCTCGGCATGGCGCTGCTTGTGGTACAGTTTGGCCTTCAGTCCAATGAGTTTCTTTGCTTTCTGTGATCTCTCATGAGCCTCACGGCTCTCCTTCTTCCTCTTCTTTTCATGGTAGTCCAAGCGATAACCGTACCGCTTACGGTGCAATTCAATGTACTCGTTCTGAGGCTGAGAGAAAAAAAAAAAGGATTCAACATTCTAGCCGTATACTAAACACTAGAATATAGTTGCTTATAAATACAGTATGTTGAGTGTTTTTCTATTTAAAACATTGCATTGGAACTGAACTCAAAAAGTGAAGATTTGCTGTTATAGGAAAAAGTAAGAGAACTTTGGGGTAACCTTTTTTCCCCATAGTTCTCTTTAGTGTCACGGGATGACATATACTAACCTCCTCCTGTGACCTAAAGCTCAGTATATAGCGGGCTATTGCCCGCTATATACTGAGTCACAGCCGGGATGGATCCCGACAATACTATCGAGATCCTCCCAGCTGGCTGATTGAAAGCGGGCTCTGCCTATTTAGAGGCCAAGCCAGCAGTGCCCACCCCCTCCTCTGTCCATTCCTCCACTCAGTGATCAGAGAGGGGTGGGGGGAAATCCCTGCGGGGAGCTGTGACTGACTGTCACCGATCACTGTAGGGAGATGATCGGGATGTAAGCGGGCGACGGTATGTTTTCCCTCACTTCCCGATCTGTAGAGTCAACATGCGACAGTTTCAATGTCACACTTAGGCTATTACTATGGGGATCAGTTAAAATCACTCACCTCATAGTTCTTCTTTAAATGTTAATTGTGGCCCAGCAGTACCTTGAAAATGCTGCAATTTGTCTAGACTGACTCCTGAAATATAGCAGCGCAGTACCTGGTATGCCAGAGTACCTAGGCACTCCTGTGTCTAGTTTGTATATCTGCAGTGCGAGATCTGAGGCAATACTGCTCTGCAGAGATTTAGTGATGTCACTGCTGTGCTGCTCATGGCATGGTAAGTCAGTACTGGGGGAAAGATCAGCTGCAGGAAGACCACAGGCAATACTGGTGTCTAGTCCATCTTCCAGGGATCCTAGTAGAACACAGCAGATAATACAATTTTGCTGTGTTCCAAAATTAGGAAGTAAATAGCACTAAGCTGTGTACATGACACAGAAGGCCAGGCCCTGTGGAGAACAGAGGCCATACCGGGATCGGAGGAGGTGTAACGGAGAGGCCATGGAGCAGCTAACATGTCCAGACAGCGCTCCCACGTGTCCGGGTCCACTTCTTACCATGATGTCTGTTTCCTGTACTCCCCGATCTTACTCCCAACCTGCGGCCTCCTGCTCGGCTTTCTACTTCTCTGGACTCAGCAGATGGTAAATAAAAGCCCAGACACTCTCCGGGCCGCCGACACCGAGCGACGTTGGTAGTAAAAGAAAGCCCCGCCCAGCCAGCGGTCACACGTCACTTCCGCTTTCCTCCAGGCCACTGATTTCTTCTGACTGCAACAAAAACGAACCTCTGGTCTAATACGGGAGAGATGTCATCCGCCCATAACAATTCCGCCGATCCCGGTGAGATTATACGGGTTTTCGCTGATAAAAACAGCAACTAAGGAACAATAATTTCCCGTGAATGTTCCCGGTCGGAGCCTATTTCTAGTTGCATCCGACGAGCTGCATTCTGGGAAGAAGGGCAGACGATGTGTTTACGGGATGACGTCACTTGTGTGGCGACCCAGTGCCGCCTGTCATGTGCTAGAGGTCACATGTGGAGTCTGACATCTAGAGAGTGAGACACTGAGGAACCGGAATACAAGAGGTGAATGAGAGCTCAGCGATGACATTTCATTCACCAACTTCATTGTATTGTAAGAAGGTTTTATTGACTCTTATTCTGCTTGTGCAGGGTGCTGTATACATAAGTATTAACAATAGCATTGTACTTGTGGTAATCGACGCTGTGCAGGTTAGACTTGTGATCTTTTGTTTTGGTTGAATGTCAAGTACCAGCATGCCTTGGCATCACAAATTAACCAGTTGACATCCGCAGTGTTAAACCCCCTTCCCATCCAGGCCATTTTTCAGTATTCAGCGCTGCGGTACTTTGACTGACATTTATTCCGTCATGCAGCGCTGTACTGAAATGAATTTTATACCCTTTTTTGGGGACAGATAGAGCTTTCTTTTGGTGGTATTTATTCACCACTGGGGT